CATGTCTTGCTCCCACAAGACAAGCGTCGTCTCAGGATGGGAAGACAGATACAGAGAGCACAACACCATGCGAGAAGATTACTGCACCGAAAAAATCTTGATCGATCGATCGATATATGGGGTTTAACGTCCCAAACCACTCTATGATTATGAGAGACGCCGTAGTGGAGGGCTCCGGAAATTTAGACCACCTGGGGTTCTTTAACGTGCACCCAAATCTGAGCACACGGGCCTACAACATTTCCGCCTCCATCGGAAATGCAGCCGCCGCAGCCGGGATTCGAACCCGCACCCTGCGGGTCAGCAGCCGAGTACCTTAGCCACTAGACCACCGCGGCGGGGCGAAAAAATCTTGAATCTCTATCTACGTTAGCATATAGCACAGCACACATTATTAGGACGAAAGCGATGTGCATCTTCCCTTGTTTCAAGAAGGCAGTTCGATCCCTTGAATAAACCTTCGTGAGTGATTTCAGGCAAAAAAAGCACGAAGTTGGAGCTAGATGCATTGTAGTCATATGTGTTGTGGTTTTTGGGACTTACTGAAACATACTGTCCAACTACACAGCCCTCATAGATGGAACACATTTGATGCTGACCTTCATAACGTTTGGCATCAGTCCCATACGTCAGCTTTATACAGCGACACCAAAAATACAAGAAATGGATTGATTGAGAAACATCATAATATGTGTGACAAATTATTAGTTGAAGCTACGGAATCAATGCAGAAGAATGCGAACCCCACCGAGGGTGGTTGTTCATTGCGACAATAAAATATTTTGCACGCATGCAATGGAATCTTCTCGCACAGTCCAGTCTCAGTCGGAAATCTTGGAGAAAGGTCTTCATTTTATGTTGGTCATAAAAGAAAGGCTATATTATATATTGCCGATGAATGAACACAAATATAATTTAAAACAGCCCTATTTGAAACAATACTGAGGGAACAAAACGAAAAAGAGCGCGATTTGAACCGAAGTCGAACACCAATGACACTGCGCCACGAAATCTACGTGGTAGGGCTGTCTAACAACCACCGCAGACAGCGACACGGTTTTCTTACAGCGTGACCTTGAAACAAAGAAAAAGTTAAAAAAGACCTGCGTCACGACCGCTTCCCGAACGGCGCATCGAGCCATTACGCCTGGAAAACAGCTAGACAGCGGCGTCTAAAATAACTAAAAATAACGGTAGTTATTTTTAGTTATTTAAAAATTATTTTTAGTTGTTTAAAAATATAGTCATTGCTTTACGATGAAGGGGTCGTCACTATAGCTGTATCACTATTACGACGGGCTCCGTCACTGTTGCTTCACTACAATGACGGGCACGCTCACTTTAACGATAGTATGGCGCTGACAGGCCCCGTCACTGTAGTCACGATTGCAATACGCTGACAGTACTCTGATTGTACTGAATTGACGGGCCCCGTCACCTTAGTCACTGCCCAATTTATTAGCATAAGTTTACCAATATTATTGGCTATGTTAGCTTTTTTGTGCTAATATTTGGCTATATTGACCACGTTTTTGTGGTTCTATGCTAGAGTGTGTCACTTCCAGCTAGTTGCGGCTGCAGGCTAGCGTTGGGTAATATGAGGTCATGGTGGCTTGCTAATATAGGTTTATGCTTGCAAATACTAGTAGATGCTGGTGAAACGTGTTTGTTTCGCCCTATGTTGGCTGTAACCAGGCAGGTTACTGGAACGTTTAGACTAGCATGAATGTGCCATTCGTATGCTACCAACGCTCCGCCACACAAAATTGCATGAAGGAACGTTTTTTTTATTATAAGCATATCAGTTGGGCCTCTTTTAAGGAAAGTAGAACGGTGCACTACAAACAGCGACATGACAAATGCACACAAACACGCAATCATATATCGCGTGTGTACCTTCCCTGTTTCGCAATTTCTTGTACCCTTCTTCCCTGTTTATAATAATAGCCTGCCAACGTGGCCTAGTATTTATTTGGGGATGTGTTAGCCGGAGCAATGTTTTTCTGTTATGCAAATAAAATGTGAGTTCACATAGAGCAGTGGTGCGCCATGTAATGTGGGAGTACATGTGCCAGCAACAACAGCCCTGTAACCACCAGCATAAGCGTACGTTTTTAACAGGGAACAAGACAAACTTTCAGGAATCATTGAACTCGTTTCAGCTATCGCTTTGGCTGCGAGGCTCGTGGAAGCCACTAGAGGCCTACACCGGCACTGCGTTCGCTAGCAGGAGGCCTTCAAAATCTCAAAGCTGAACGTCTTGCACTGGGCCGCCCAATGTTATCTCGCATATGAGTAGTGTCGTTACGCGGATTCTTAGGCCATTCTTTATGCGCCAGGGTGTAGTGCAGGTGTGTGTCATTGGCCCTCGCCATGATCACAACTGCTCTGTTTCTACAACTCGTCGATATGCTACTTAATGTTTGTGATATGCACAACATTGTGCCAGAGCCACTCAACTTTGTATTCATATGATTCTGTATTGTAAATTTCCGTGGTGGTTTCAATTCATTACGTTGTCTGTCACGAAAAGTTGTCTGTGAAAATATAAATACTTCTATTATCAAGAGCTTTTTCGTTGGTATCAGTGCATACACTTTGATCAATACAGCGGTCTTCACGAATTTCTCGGTGACTGCTCCTCTTGTCGTTGCCGGCACCTATAAGTTTGAAACATCGATACGAATGATCTAATTTGCGCCAGTCTTTTACTAACAGAGCTTTCGTTTTGCATTGCAAAATTTTATTACGATAGCAATTACATGGACACTCTCAACTGGATTTTGCCACCGCCGTCGTCGGCATCAATGTACATGACCGCCGTCATTCGTCGTATATGTATACGTATCTATATAAAAGAAAACGCAAGAAACTTTATCCAGAAAAAAGACTCTGCCTCGTGGAATAGAATGTCCGACCACTTACTTGTGAGTGCGTGGATTTCACCACTGAGTCACGACAGAGCGGCACCTTCTACGCTGAAAAGGCAAGCTATTCATATTTACCACTTACCACTGTTGATATCAATCTAGGGAGAAATATTGTTTGTAAGTATGCATTACCAGCGACATGGCACAATGAGCGCGTTTCGCCAAATCGTCATGACGCACTTACGCACGCTGATCTGTTTATCTCCCTCGCGTACTTGGCTCCGCGGAGGGGGGTGTGCTAGAGGCTCACGCACGCGCGTGCATATCTCACGGTGGGGTGAACCGCACGGCTTTGGCTTTTACAGGAGGAATTATGTTGCTGTTACCCGGGCGCACAACTGTCAGTGCACCCTCTCTACAGTCTCCATATGCGAAAAGAGTACGCTTTTGAGACTCAGCGAAAAAATAACTAAGAGATTTATTCACGTTCATCTGAACCTGTGAGTACGTTTTGGCGTGATTTGTGCGTGAGCAACGCAGCGCAAATTTCGGTCTGCTTGACATTCTTCGCGTGACCAAGTTGTTGCTATCGCATTCATTGCCTCGTCTTTGTGGCAAAGCTGTGACTTTTTTATTATCCTGTACTTTGAAAAGTTCGGGTCACCGTTATTGCGAAAAAAAGCAGTCTGCTGATTGTTTCATGTACAATCAATCTGTGCATCATACTTTCTAAGGCGAGAGCTGAAATCTTCCTGGAAGCAACACACGTGAATAATGACCAATATAATGGCGTTTCAACATTCGAAATTGAATGACAAACCGAATTACGTTCTATTTGAAGCAGTGCTCGTGTAAATAGCGCAAATTTGAAATACCGAATATTTTCGTCAAGTTTTTATGACACCAAAATGCTTGCTTTATTCGTAAAACGTGAACGGGGCTTCGATATGCGTCATTGCAATGTTTAACCAAAATAGTGAAGACGTAGCCAGGTGCTCTTACCTCAGAAGAGGATTCACACTTGCTTCAAATTGTGATAAATAAAATCTTATGTCCGCAACAAACCTCTGCACGCATACAGGACAATATAACAATACAAACATCTCGAGGCTTTGATTTTGCTGTCGGGTTTTTTTTTTACTGTTTCATATGCAGTGTGCAGATTCATCGAATACTTATAGCCTTCTTCGAACTGTTTTTGTAGGAACTAGTTCGGAACGTTGTACTAGACTCATTCGTTATGCACTACTTAGGGCAGATCGTCATGAGCATTGTAATAACGCTGTATATGAATATTTGGGTTTTTAATTTTGTTTCATTGAAAAGCTTTATATTTCGTGAAAATGAAATTTATTAATCAAATAATCAAGGCGACTGCACTTTAGGGGAAAGTGAGAATTTACTACTGACAAAATGGCCCGGTATCCTCCATACAATTTTTACCAGCGGGCTTATGTCACCTAAATACATCACATATTCTTTGGAGTTCGGTTTATATAGCCTGCTGTCACCGTTATTCAAGGGTGAATTGTGTATTTCAGTCTTATAGATTACATCACATGCCGGCTTAAAGTCCTTCCAAAGAAAGCCTTAGTCATACCAAATAATCAATAGAGCGAATTGTTCGACAGAAGCGAAAACTTAATTGTGCTTCAGTCGGGTCGATTCTTTCTTTCAGGACTGTAGATGTGTAGATGTGATGAGTACGCTTATAGAACAACTGGTCTTTCCGAGCAAAGTGCGCAATATTCAGAACTGCGCGCTTCGTTTTTTTTTAACATCTGTTTACTGCCTCCAAAAGTAATTCAGCTTTTTTTACAGCAAAAGCTGTGTATAGCTAGGAAAAAAAACATTGGTCGAAAATATACACAACCAACTACAAAGGCTGCGCCGTTAACTAGTTTTCTGCAGCGCACGCAAGCGCTCGCGTCGATAATAGAGCCGTTAGTGGCGCTATTCTTTGTGTCTTACCCAAGCACACGTGCCATTTAGAAGTACTTGTTGCTGGGCTAGTTCGTTCGTCATACATAAGGAAACACGTGCAAATACCTACCCTGTCAGTGAGGTCGTCCGTTTCTTCACAGACGTGCTGCTATTGTTAGAATTTGTAATACGATGCCAGTGACTCACCTTATCCGCAGTCACATAGGTGTAACGGCTGTAAACTTGCCGACAGTATGTTGTCCGGCTTGAGACCTCTCCAGGAAACTTGCTGGAGTGTATGCTTGTTGTTACAGAATTCTTCAAGATAAGGCATTCGTATCTAGGGCGACTGAAAAAAATGTTATGTATATCAATGTGTGAAATTTTCACGTTCAAAAAGCTTACTTGTAGACATTGAGGACCTCTCGTTGGCAACATGGAGAAAACTTGTACATGTTTGGTGCTCTGAACTCATAACTCATCATATAGCTGTCTTTAGATGGGCAATCAGCTGAGCCTATATGTCCTTCAGGCCATGAATCAGCACCCTGTCCATCGTGTACACATCCAAGGCTGCAAATAGGAAGGCGAAGAGTTATAATACTTCTATTAGGATGAATGTGCACAATAAGCAAAATTAAATATTCATTGTTTCTAAGTGTTTTGCGAAATCTAGTTCACTGGAAAACCTTTTGTTCACTGGAAAATATTCACTGGAAAACCTTTTGCGCATTTTTACAGATTTGTCCTTCTAAACTATTTTCGGCCTATGTCATTTATACTTAAATTAGCACAGTGCTCGTTTTTCTCTGACGTGCTGTCATATTCTACCGGCTAACTGTTTTTTTTAATTGATTGATTGATATGTGGGGTTTAACGTCCCAAAACCACTATATGATTATGAGAGACGCCGTAGTGGAGGGCTCCGGAAATTTAGACTACCTGGGGTTCTTTAACGTGCACCCAAATCTGAGCACACGGGCCTACAACATTTCCGCCTCACTGTTTTTTTTTCAAGCAGGATAACGCATGTACCGGCAAGTATTTTAGCATAAGAATTGAAAAAAAACTGTTTTTTTTAATTCTTATGCTGAAATACTTGCCGGTACATGCGTTATCCTGCTTGAAAAAAAAAAGTTCTTGAAAGCTGACAGTATTTCAGTGCATACTAATGCTCAATATACCTGTTCCTTCCACGAGAAGGCTCGATAGTATAATAGCAAAAAAAAAAAACAGGCTTTAGCAGTGGCTTTATTTGAAATTGAAAATCAGTCGCATTAAAACATTCTACAGGTCACTGAAGATTCGCTTACAAAGGTGAAAAGCAATAGCGTAATCGGGCTCATGGCGCATCGAGGGTACTACAAGAATGAAGGACATTCAGGCATAACACTGGCCTTTCAATTCATGTTAAAATAGCAAAGTACATTTGGCGAATGCCCACTACGATATTATTCGTCTCTTTACAAACTGGCCAGTTGTTCACTCCGCGTTCATAAGAATCTAGAAACACCTGTGAATCTGTAAAATTTTATGCAGCTTCGAACCAACTACTCGTTGCGCCATTCGCAAGTTTTAATGCCCCCAGCAGTTCTGATTCTGCTACGGAATTTCGCACGATTCAAGAATTCTTTTCCTTCATCGTTACATTGTAAGAGCAATTTATAACAAGCGCAGTTATTTGAATTGCCACGGCTCCGTTATAAAACTCCTGCTTACCACGCAGAAGGCCTGTGCAATTCATGCGCACTAGGCTCTAATGTTTTTACAATCGATTTATTTATAGGTATCGCAAATTTTCTCTCATTGATAACATTGAAATTTTACTCACAAACGATGGCGGTGCCACCGATGCCAGAACTATGACTTCCGTGATACAAGCTCTTTAGTGTTATCGCGTTTATTGGCCTTGCAACATCGCCAACCAGCAGCCTTTTTTAAGATTGCAGCATCTATTTATATTGCCATCTAATCAACGAATGATACAAAAAACTTTAGGTCTGCGCATAACGCACAGCACAGTCACAGCGAAAGCTACAGGAGCAGCTTCTCAGAGCCTTTTCTAAACACTCTTTGGATAACTGCTAAAGCACGCGGGTGGGTACCCACTAAATTCAAAATAGTCATAATGGTTGTGTAAAATCAGCTAGCATTAACTATGCTATACTTCGTCATTCTTCGAAGAAACGTGATTTTTCCTACACACTTGCTGAGAAATTTTTGTGCACTTTTTTGTCCAGTAGCTGACGACGATGAATTGTGCCAGTAATGTGTAGGCGCCTCTGTTAATAGGAGATTAGGAACAAGTTTTTTAATTGCTTGGAGCATTGTATTGCCCACTCCTTATGTTATTCGCATTGTGTGACGCGTAGTCATGCCTTTTATCTTCGATTGACATGTGAGGTTTAACGTCCCAAAACCACCATATGATTATGAGAGAAGCCGTAGTGGAGGGCTCCGGAAACTTCGACCACCTGGGGGTCTGTAACGTGCACCCAAAGCTGAGCACACGGGCCTACAACATTTCCGCCTCCATCGGAAATGCAGCCGCCGTAGCCGCCGCAGCAGAGATACGAACCCGCGACCTGCAGGTCAGCAGCCCAGTACCTTAGCCACTTGACCACCGCGGCGGGGCATGCCTTTTATGTTCTAAAACGCTTTATTACTTAGCAAATAAATCGACATCTGGGCTGCCTTAATATATACTTATATATATATATATATATATATATATATATATATATATATATATATATATATATATATATATATATATATAAATATTGTCAAGACGTTTATCAGCCGGCACACAGCGAGCATACAAAATGGCGACTGTAACGGCCAAGCACGGGCTCTCAGCGCGAGGTACATCCTTTTTGGGTACACCCACTAGAAGGCTACTGAGAGTTCGACAATTTTCAGTGTTCGCAAGCTTTTCTACAATTACCCCGGGGTTGAAGAGGGAGCCGCCTGGCGACCTAACAGCTTGTCACTATGAGCGGGTCATAGTAAGCCTTCAGGCGCTCCACGGTGACTATGCCGCGCCCGTGACGGCGCATGTCTGAAGATTGTTAAATTGGTTCGATCAGATAGTTGAACGGAGATGTGCGCTCGATGATATGGTAGGGGCCTTCGTATTTCGGAAGTAGTTTGAAAGAAAGGCCAGCTACAGAGGTCGGGACTGAGAGCCATACAAGAGAACCTTGAAGGAACGTGGGCTCAGAAGTGGCGAAGCCGTCACGAATACTCTTTTGCAGCTCTTGCTCATGCGTCGTAAAATTTTGGAAAGCTCTCGACACTCTTCAGCAAGCGTGGCTGTCTCAGAAATTGTTGCATACTCAGATGGATCCGGTGTGTACAGGAGTATCGTGTCCATGGTGTGTGACGGGTGCCTTCCGTACAGCAAGAAGAAAGGTGACAACGCGGTTGTACTCTGAGGGGCGGTGTTGTAGGCGTGTGTGCATAGGTCAGTATAGTATTCCAATTCGTGTGGCTGGCGGCGACTCACATTGTCTCTCATGATCATATGGTGGTTTTGGGACGTTAAACCCACATATCAATCAATCAATCAATCAATCAATCAATCAATCAAACGGCGACTCACATCGAAAGCATGTCACTGAGGGTGTGGTTAAAGCGTTCAGTGAGACCATTCGTCTACGGGTGGTAAGCAGTAGATTTGCGGTGGACAGAATGGCACTCCGTGAGAATGGATTCGACGACTTCTGACAAGAAGACACGGCCTCGATCACTGAGAAGCTCCTGAGGTGGACCATGGCGCAGTATGAATCGATGCAGTAGGAAGGACGCAACATCACGCGAAGTAGCCGCAGGGATAGCAGCGGTTTCGGCGTATCGCGTTAAATGATCAACGGCGACGATGGCCCAGCGGTTACCAGCCGACGTCAGAGGAAGTGGTCGATACAAATCGATACCTATGTGCCCAAACAGACGCCCAGGGCAAGGTAACGGTTGCAGACTGGCTGCCGACATGTGTGCTGACGGTTTGCGGCGTTGGCAAGCGAGGCAGGAGCGAGCGAACTGCTGCACGTAGTGGTACATTACGCGCCAGAAGTAGTGTTGTCAAATGCGATGGTAGGTTTTGAATACCCCAGAGTGCGCGCATTGCGGATCAGAATGGAAGGATTCACATATCTCCGACCACAGACTGCGGGGTATCACGAGTAACCACTGCCTGACATCGGCGTCGTAATTGCGTCGGTGTAGGAGGCCATCACGAGTGGCGAAATGGTGAGCTCGACGACGCAAGGCACGCGTGGTTGGCGTTGCGGACAGATCAGAGAGCAAGTCGATCAGTTGGGCGATCCAATTATCCTTTCGCTGTTCGGTAGCGATGATGTCAACATCAATGGCAGAAACAGCAACCGAGGATACTGAGCAGAGCACGTCAGCTTCAGGCAGAGGGGAGCGCTAAAAGGCGTCGGCGTCAGCATGCTGGCGTCCGTTGCGGTAGAGCACGCGGATGTCGTAGTCTTGTAAGCGAAGAGCCCAATGGGTGAGGCGGCCTGAGGGATCCTTCAATGATGACAGCCAGCATAGTGCATAATGGTCGGTGACGACATCGAATGGGCGACCATACGAATAAGGTCGAAACTTTGTAAGAGCCCAGACGATCGCCAGGCACTCTTTTTCCGTGACGGTGTAGTTTGTCTCAGCTCTCGTGAGCGTACGGCTTGCATATGCCACAACATAATCAGGGAACACGGGTTTGCGTTGCGCCAGGACAGCGCCGAGGCCTACACCACTGGCGTCCGTGTGCACCTCTGTTGGGGCCGTAGGGTCGTAGTGGCGTAGATTGGGAGGAGACGTCAACAAATGGCGGAGCTTCAAGAACGCGTTGTCACACTCTGACGACCACGAATTGAGGGGCCCGTTACTTCCAAGGAGCATCGTCAGCGGTGATCGTGGCAAAGTTTCGTATGAAGCGTCGGAAATATGAGAACAGGCCCCCGAAACTACGCAGTTCTTCGACAAACGCAGGTTTTGGGAATTCGGTCATTGCCCGAAGCTTGGGTGGGTCAGGAGGAAGGCCATCCTTGGACACGACGTACCCTTCGATGGTGAGTTGGCGTGCTGCAAAGCGGCACTTCTTCAGATTTAGTTGCAAGCCGGCATTGCTCACACGAGCGAAAACTTCTTTTAGACGCTGGAGATGCGTGGAGAAATCGGGAGCGAAGACAACAACGTCATCGAGGTAACACAACCACGTGTGCCATTTCAAGTTGCGCAGAACGGTGTCCATCATGCGCTGAAATGTCGCAGGTGCATTACACAGACCAAACGGCATGACGTTGAATTCGTACAAGCCATCGGGTGTGATGAAGGCAGTCTTTGGTCGAGCGTCATCAGCCATTGGTACTTGCCAGTACCCCGAGCGCCGATCGAGAGAAGAAAATTCGGCTCCGTGAAGGCTGTCCATTGCGTCATCGATGCGCGGCAGTAGGTAAACATCTTTGCGAGTGATCTTATTGAGCCGTCTGTAGTCCACACACAACCTAACAGAACCATCTTTCTTCGCAACAAGAACAACAGGAGACGCCCATGGACTGTCC